GTTATATCTTATTGAGTACAATCGATAGGATATATATACAGAAGATTAGCTAGGGTATTACACAGCACTTAATTACAATATATTTGGTTTCCATATATACACCCTTCGTATCTCCTAATTCCTTGCTCCTTAGCTGATGTCTTCATCATTAATACTTGGGATGGTTATCTAATTCTATATATAGTAATCCATCTTTCTCGTAGTTTAGAACCATTTTCCATCTTCTTTCTACTTTTGTCAAAGAATCTCCCATACAAAACCTCAAATTTTTTTGTTGGTTTTGATATGATAAAAGAGTATATTTTACCATTAAAAAAGCAAAAGAAAAAACAATTATAGAAATGAATTTTTATTCAATTTTCTTAATTTTGCTGGACTTGTGCTTGTCGTTTGTAACACTATTGAACTGAAACTACAATTGCTTGACTTGTCATTTAAAAATTCTTTGAGACTTCGTTTAATTTTTCTTAATTGCTTGACATCAATCATCAAAGTGTGTCTGCCACTAGCCAAGTACATTTCGAGTCAGGTAATCCAAACCTTGATTTTGTTGGGTAAGAGAAAGAAAATATCTGTTTAGATCATGAGTATATGGATCAGGTACCGGGATATCCGAATTATACGTTTGGATAGGTAATTTTCTAAACTAGTATTTAAACTTCTCTACATCACTCAAAAGTCAAAATTATCCAACGTTTCCTGTATCCATTTCGAGTGTCGATGGAGACCCAATCCGGTGTTCCAACAGTCGTAAGTTTTAGGAGAGGAGATCTCTTAATAAGCAAAACTTCTCAGATCGGTGGCCTTTTGTTCATAGATCTACCTACTTCTTCGCTATGCGAGTTGGAGTTGGATCAATTTTCTTTATTCTGGGTTGCTGATTGGAAGTTTTTTCCGGCTAAGCGATCGAATCTTTCATCGTCCAGCAATGACGTCATGATCGGTATATGGTCAAAGGAGAAGCGGAAGCATGTAGAAGGTCGTCCATGTGTTCTGTTCATGAAATTGGGCTTCATAAATGACTTGGGCCTTATGCACGTAATATTGCTGAATTTGGGCCGATCGTTTCTTTTGTTGTATATTTTATGTGTTAATATCGGTGTATCTTTTTGTTTTAGCTATTAGGTTTATTTATGTATGTCTGTGTGTTGTATTAATTGGAGATTACTCACTAGGTTACATCTCTCATGGTAACATCTCGAATCGATTATCACCGAATACATGAGATGTAGTGGGTTTTTTCGAGTCTGGTGATTGGGACGTCACCAGATTATGTAATCCCGTACAACGGAAACAGTCCCACTCTTTTGGAGTCTTGATTACCTCTATTACGGGTGTGTTGTCTACCCTATAATAGGTTTATCATTCCCCCTTGGGATGTATGTATCCCTTGGTGGGTTAGTTTTTGATTAATATGACATGTTGGCCGACAAAAAAAAAAATCCAACGTTTCTCGATATTTTTTAAAAATTAAATAAAATTATCTTAATAGTTACTCGTCATTATCCATTTGGTACGGGGAATGATTTTAGAGAAATGTGCAGAAAAGTCATAGAAAACTACTTTCAACTACAAAAATGTCATAGATTCGAAACTGTGTGCAAATATGTCATAATTGACCTGTTAAAAGACTTTTATACCCATTAAACA